TCTTTCTTTCTTTCTTTCTTTCTTTCTTTCTTTCTTTCTTTCTTTCTCCCTCTGCCTCCTTTAAACGAGATTCCTCCACTAATTAAAGGGGAACAGACCTTTGCCCCAAATCGATGCCAGCCCCACCCCTTCATGACCCGCGGGCCCCTTGTGAGCTGGCCGTGGGGGAGGGGGAAAATAAACGGGCTAGGCTGGGGAGGCTGAGTGTTTTTGTTTTTTCCCCTTTCCTTTTGGGGGAGGGGACGGTGCGGCAATTGGTTGCAATCTTTGGCTTCCAGCGGGGTGGGCCTACTAACTACTTGGATCTTGAGAGCTGCTGGTTCTTAAACTCATCGCGGATGATACGCGTTGCACATGATATGCGTTGTGATGATCTGCGGCAGGATGGCGCAAATCGGGATGAATTAGCCCGCCAGCTCTCTTGAGCCGGGAGGTTCGGGCAGAGGGACAGGCGAGAGCTAAAAAGGATTGAAAACAAAACTAACCGGAACACGAAATTAGGAGAGAAAGTTAAAAAAAGAAAAAGGATCCAACGCTCAATTATACAGCGGATAAGGTCAAAAAGGATTGGAGAACCCAGACCGAAACCCTTCCCACCGCTCCCCGGATGCCCAGATTTGTGTGTGTGCGCGCGCGCGTGTTTTGCCATGTTGTCTCTTTATCAACAATCCCAGCACACAGACCTGCTCCGCATCGCGGCCGAATAGCAGGGACGAGAAGAAAGATCTCAGCTAAAGTCCATCGCTGGTGCTGGCCAGGCCCTCCCTACAAAGCAACTGGGCTCTTCTTTTATTTTTATTTTTATTTTTCCACAGCAGACGAAACCCTGCCTGGACACAAAAGCCTCGCCTCGCCTCCCTTGTTTTCGGGACAGCGAAGGAAGCGCAGGGGGACCTGAAGGGAGGAAGGCTGCAAGGGGGAAGGCGGAAGTGCTCAGCACCTGAAGTCGCCTCTGCCCCAAGCAAACTTGCAATTCCAGCAGCTGGAAACTTATTCAACCGTCCATTTTTATTTTTATTTTTTGGCTTGACTTGTTACGCATCCCTTCCGCCCACCAACCTCCCCCCCCGCCGTCGCCACTTAATAGGATTCGGCCAAGGCTGGTTTTTATAGTCCGTAATCTGCAAAGACGCGTGGGCCTCAGCCAGGGTCCAGATGGAGAAAAACGGAGCCGGTGTCACCGCAAACCTCCGAATTCAATTCACCGGCGCGGGATACTTTTTGAGTCTTTTAAGAGGGTAGTCTTCCGATTTCGAGGAAGCGTCAAAGCCTTAAAGGTGCTGGGGAAAAAGAAAATCTGTGGGGGAAAAAACAGCAGCACAAAACCACAGGCGACAATATACTTCGGAGTAAATTTAAAAGAAAGGAAGGAAGGAAGGAAGGAAGGAAGGAAGGAAGGAAAGAAAGAAAGAAAGAAAGAAAGAAAGAAAGAAAGAAAGAAAGAAAGAAAGAAAGAAAGAAAGAAAGATTCCAGTAGAAAATGCGCGCCTGTCACCTTTCAAAGTTGGAATACTGAGATGCCAAAACCACAGCTGAAGATCGGTCTTTTCCTGAATTTTAACCTAGATGCGGATTGGGCCACGCAACCTGGCGCCTTCCAGATGCGTGGGAGCGCAACTCTCCCCATCCCCAGCTGAGACTGGGAGTCCAACACATTAGAGCAGGGGTCTCCAACCTTGGCCGCTTTAAGCCTGGAGGACTTCAACTCCCAGAATTCCCCAGCCAGCTTTGCTGGGAGTTGAAGTCCTCCAGGCTTAGCTTTGCTGGCTAGGGAATTCTGGGAGTTGAAGTCCTCCAGGCTTAAAGTGGCCAAGGTTGGAGACCCCTGCATTAGACAGAGGGCCTGACGGTGGGAGGTCTTAGAGGCCTGGGGCTGGGGAAGGGAGAGGGGCCAGCTCCAACCTCACGAAAGGCAGGGCGGGCATAGGGGCGGGGAGGCTAAAGGCAGCCGGATCGAAGATTTTCTCCCTTCCCACCTAGTATCCCATGGCCAGGAGTTTGCTTGTGGATTGATTTCCCCTTGTCAACACTTCAGACTGGGGAATGAAAGGATCTGGGGAGATCTTTATTACGGCTATTCTCCTTGTGTGCCCAGTGTTTAAATTCATGGTAATTATTAATCCCAATTGCGGGCAACCCCGAACCAGCACTTTAATAAAGAACACGAACGAGAGTTTCCGGGTGACGGCCTCTCCTTTTTCCGCCCCATTCTGTTCACGCCAATAGCATTTCCAGCGCGGCCCATTCATTTTGGGATGGAGTGGTGGGCCTTAAACAGAGATTTCCAGGTCGAAGAGATTTAGAAGCAAGTTTCAGGGAAATCGCGTTTGCTTTAATTTACCTTTCAGAGCTGACAGACTTGCATTTGATGGATTGGTCCTATATTCGGAATTCGACCCCACATTTCTTCCCCTTTCTTCCCACATAACATAACATCAGTGCCACCTGGATTAAATAAGCCATACTTCAAACCCAAGGAACCCTTGTACTGGATTCCGACATTGATAACTCGATTGGTGAACCCGGCTTGACTCCCCCACCCCACCAAAAATCTTGCATTTTATTGTCTAAAATGGGAGAGAACCTTCTTTTCAGGACAGCAGGAGTGCAGAAATGATACTCTCTCGTTTTAAGGAGATTGTCTTTCTTCTTCTTCTTCTTCTTCTTCTTCTTCTTCTTCTTCTTCTTCTTCTGACTCCTCCTCCTCTTCCTCCACTTCCTCTTCCACAGGGCCATTTATCCTTCCCAGGGGCATTTTACATGCCTTGATCTGCCACAAATGGAAAGAGGGTGGTTTCTGCTCCCTCCCCCCCTCCCTCTTATTCGTTCTCTCCCCCCCTCCCTGTTGTCTCTTTCTCTTTTTCTCTCTCTCTTCCTCTCTCTCATTCTCTCATTTCCTCTCCTTCCCTTCCTCCCTCCCTCTCTGTCTGTCTCTCTCTCCCTCCCTCCCTGTCCCAGTTTTCCTCCTTCCCAGTCTTCCTCCCTCTCTCCCTCCCTCCCTGTCCCTCTCCACTCTTTCTCTTATTCTCTTTCTCTCATTCTCTTCTCCTCTTCTCCTCTCATTTCTTCTCTCCCCCCTCCCGCTCCCCCCCCCCCCCTCTCTCTCGCAGGCGACTCTGGAAACAGGGCGAGCTGTTGGGGCAGGAAAGCAGAAGGATGCAGAGAGATGCGGTGGGGCGAAGGAGTAAAAGACCGGACTCCAAAGAAGAAATCCACATTGATTTTCAAAGTTGCAGTCTTAAGCACCAGGCCATCAATTAAGCGCCTGGAGTTGCTGCTGCTCCCTTGAGGGGTCTATTAAAAACACCAGCGAGATCCTCACGGTTGAGCCCAGGCGTGTGAACAAACAGGGCTGTCTGGCTCGGAATCCACATCGCAATCCACAAAAGGAAAAGCAAAAAAGGGCAGAGTCTCTCTCTCCTTTCCTCCTCCCCCTTTTGAGTGCGGAGACCGAGTCTCCCGCCACCCTCGCCTCTCCTCTGCCAGCCTTCGGGGGCCCTGGCGGGCAGGGAGGCCGGGACAGCTGGGCGCGTCCCAGCGCGCGCGCGTGCAAGGCCTGGAAATGCTCCAGCTCGGAAGCGGAGCCGCGGCTTGGACTCTTTCATCCCGCGACTTTGTCCCCGCAGCCATGGAGCCATTCCGAAGGGGGCAGCTCGTCTGAATGGGGCTAGACTCTGAATTCAACGACGGAAGAGTATTGGGGAAAAGTTTGGGCATCTGTAGTTCGAGAATAGAATTAGCATTACTAGACAGAAAGAGCGAAATGGCTTAGCAATAGGAGGGAAGAAAAGGAAGGAAGGGAGGGAGGGAGGGAGGGAGGAAGGAAAGAAGGAAGGAAGGAAGGAAGGAAGGAAGGAAGGAAGGAAGGAAGGAAGGAAGGAAGGAAGGAAGGAAGGAAGGAAGGAAGGAAGGAAGGGATTGTACCTTTGTCTGGCTCCAGTGATCTTTAATCGACCAACGAAATTCATAAAGTCTGCAATTTCTTCACTTTTTGGACGTAAATCTTGCAATGTTCAGTAGGACTTCTTTCTGAAGAAGTTTAAGATCGGCTGCTACTGCAAACAATCCAAACCCAAACTCAGTCTAATATTCCCCGCTCCCTAAAAGTTGAGTATTAAGATTACATTTTGGGCGCTCATACACATTCCTTTTGTGCCCAAATAGTTCTTCTATATTCTGGAATTAATGGCAAAGTATGCTGCTAAACACTCAACCTTGCCTGAGTTGAAGAGCCATTAACCATTCAAAAAACAACAACCAGCAGAGCGAGGTGGGGGTAAGAATGCCAGGAATTTATTTTAGTGGTGACAGGATCACATGAGGAATTTCCTACACAAGCAGGATTGGTGGGAAGAGACAATATTTTC